AAATCATAGTAAAGTCAATATAGAATTTTATCCATAGACGATCTATACGTCAGGTGAGATCGTTGGGGGGTGTTTATTGTTGTTTAGACAGTGAACAATCATATACAGTGCCCCAAAAAACCGTTGCAATGTTTTGCACTTTTCACTTTACGAGCTTATTGCACCCTGGGAAGGGATCCTAAAATTGCATAAAAATATGAAAATAATGCACTAGTAGCTCATCAATAGCTCCATCAATTCTCTAATAAATGTGTCCATTTTTGGTAAAGTTATTCACTTTCCAAAGGACCCATGTCATTGCAACGGTTTTTTGGTGTGCATTTTGGAGAAAGGAAAATCACATTAACTAGTATTTAGAATAGTCACCTTCTGCCCTAAGTAGTGCCTCAATCCTCCTAGGCATACTCTTGATTAAATTCTGGCAGACACTTGGTCCTATCCTCTCCCACTCCTCCTGAAACTGATCCCACAGCTCATGAACACCACTTGGAGGTTCTTCATACTCCCCAAGCTTCCTCTTTACATGGTTCCATAATTGTTTGATTGGATTAAGGTCTGGGGACTGGGAGGGCCATTCCATGACCCTGATACCATGGTTATTGAACCAGTTCTGGGCCCTTTTGCTGGTGTGTTTTGGGTCATTGTCCTGTTGGAAGAGGATGTGGGCTGGGTATTTGTCATAATATGAGAGGGTTTGCTGGAAGTCCTCTTCCAGGATTTGGCAGTAGAGCTCTGCATCCATCTTCCCATCAATCTTGCATGCCATTCCAACTCCATCTGATGTCATACATCCCCAAACCATGACAAAACCACCACCAAACCTTTTTGTTCCTTGCACCAGCCTGTCTGTAAGAGGTTCATCCCCCCATTTCCACACCCATTTCCTCCCATCTGACCCCAGGTGATTCACCTTAGTCTCACCAGACCACACCACTCTCTTCCAATCCTCCCGAGTCCACTCTTTGTGGCTGATTGTGAAGTCCATTCCCTCCATCTTATGATGTCTGCTGAGCATGGGCTGCTTCTTCTTCACCACTGCTTTCCAACCAGCCTCCTTTAGTTGCAGATGAACAGCCTCAGTTGAGAGGCTGGTGCTGGTGACTTTTTGAAGAATTTGGGTGACTTGTGCAGCATTGTTGGCTTTACCAGAGTTGATAAGATGCATTGCATGATGGATATTGGTGTCTGAGAGCTTAGATGGGCAACCACCACTGGGCTTAGGAGTATCAGGATGATGTTTAGACCAAAGATGGGTAACAGTGGAATGGTGGACAGTAGTAATTGATGAGCACTGTGGCCAGAATCAATGAGAGAAAGCACTTGTTCAATTTTCAAAGCAGCCAATTGACACATTTTAGAATTGGGGATTACAGCTTAAAATCCATGTGTATTTATGCTTCAGCAATGTTTATTTGTTTACTAGTGTGTATACTAAACAATATCACATGACCTATCAGATGATATTTCCAGTTTTAGTCCATTCTGGCAGCACACCAAAAAACCATTGCAATGACATGGGTCCCTTGTGAATTGAATAACTTTACCAAAAATGAACATATTGCTTACATAATTGGTAGAGTTATGGACAAGATACTAACACATGTTTCACATATTTATTTGAAATTTTAGAACCCTTTCCCATTGTTTAATAAGCTCTTAAAGTCAAAGGTACAAAACATTGCAACAGTTTTTTGGGGCACTGTATTTGGCAACCAAAACACGGTCAGTATGCAAATCAGCACAAACTCTAATATCATTATTGGACGTAGGAAACTGGTTACATAAGGTGATCCAGCTCCGCTCCTTCAACGGTCAGACTGAACAGATGAACCAGACGCTCAAGCAGTACCTGCGCATCTACAGTAACTACCAGCAGGACAATTGGTCTGAACTCCTGCCTCTTGCAGAGTTCGCATACAACAACGCTCCAAATGCCACCACGGGCGTCTCCCCGTTCTTCGCCAACAAAGGCTACCACCCGAACATCACCATTCACCCAGAGCGAGACCTGACATCAGTACATGCCCAAGAGTACTCCGTCGATCTTGACTCCCTCCACCACTTCCTTCGCGAGGAAATGCATCTCGCTCAGATCCGTTATCAGGGCCTGGCAGACTCCCGTCGGAGCCCTGCCCCAGCTTTCGAAGTAGGAACCTCAGTCTACGTAAAGGCCAAGTACTTCCGCTCCACCTGACTGTCAGGGTTCAGCACCCTGCCTTAGGGTGCCCCGGACTCCCCACCTACTTTACCCCCTTTTATTCTTTGACTGTTGCCTCGTTGTTGCCTTTGTGTGTTGTGTACACACGCGCGCACAGGATAGCATGGGAACTTTCTGAGCGAGCAGCTCGCCCAGAATGTTCCCATGGGTCACAGCCACAGTTCTGGGCGAGCAACTCGCCCAGAACGTTCCCACACTTACTGGGCACTGCCACCTGGATGTTCCCTCCAGGTCACACTACACAACTCTAGGAGCTGTATAGTTGTGGGCATGTGACCCATTCCTTTATATAGCAACCATGCGGGGAGATGAGACCTTTACCCTTCTTCTCATCTCATGCCCCGCATAGGCAAGTGTATATATCTTTCCTTTTACTATACATCTCATGCCCCACATAGTGTGAGGACAGGTTAGATGGGGGCTGAGGTCAGGGAGCCTCCGAGTCCAAGGCTGGGCCCTGACACTGACCTTCCAAAAAGCTCTCCAAAAAAAAACCTCGGCCCATTTGAGATCATCGCCCGCGTTGGTACTCACTCCCTCACTCTCCACCTGCCAGAAAACATGCGACCCATTCACCCGGTATTCCATGTCTTGCAGATCGAACCCTCCGTCCCGAACATCATTCCGAACCACCACCAGCCACCTCTGCCTCCTGTAGAAATCGAAGGCAAGATGGAGTTTGAGATCGAGGAGATACTCAACTCCAAGATCGACCAACATAGACGCAACAAGTTGCTCTACCTGGTCAAGTGGCTGGGCTATGAAGGGACCGACGAGGAGACACAATGGCTCCTTGCCGGGGAACTCGATCACGCCTCCGACCTTGTCGAAGCGTTCCACTCTCGGTACCCAGCGAAGCCTGGACCCGAAGCTCCTTAGGAACCCCGACTCCTCTCCCATTTCCCCTTTCCCTCCACTCCTCACTTCTGTTTTTATTTTCCCATTTTCTTTTCTTTCTTTTCTGTAAGTACAGCTCCCCTCACCTTACTAATTCTGGGCCTTCAAGGGTTCAGGCCTAAGAAGGGGATACTGTCATATCCATCCCCAGCCATCGACTTCCGGTCCCTCCGATCCCTCCGGTCTAACTCCGCTCCTTCCTCACTAACCTCGGAGCTCCCGTATTCTGCAATCCTCTCGGTACCCCTCAATGGTCACCACCCCCTCATTTCAATTTATTACCAACGCCTCCCTAAGTACGGAGCCCTGAAGACTTCCGGACAGCTCCGACGTCCGCTAGCGCACTCCCGCCTCCACTGGGCAATACACTCACCTGCCCTGCAGAGCCCACCTTCGGGCTTATCCCTCCTTTCCGTTTCTGGGTTATCGCCTGCCTTTCCGCTAACCCCACGACCCGACTCGTCAGTAACATTCAGTCAGCTAATGTTTAAACCCGTTAGCTCCGCTCCGTTCGGCTCAACCATCTGCGGACCTGTCTTCGCTGTAACCATATATATATCCAACTTGTACATAGGTTACACTCCAGTAATAAAATCGACTAGAGTTACCCCCCTTCAGTTCTGATTGCCAGTCAGTAAGTTAGGGCACGGACGTGTCACTAGGCACAGCGCTCTTGGCATAAGTCGCTGAGGCCAAAGCCCTCCGCCACAGAGACTCTCCCTCGTTGTCAGGGCCCAGCCTCGGACTCGGAGGCTCCCTGACCTCAGCCCCCATCTAACCTGTCCTCACACTATGCAGGGCATGAGATGTATAGTAAAAAGGAAGAGAGTATATACACTTGCCTATGTGGGGCATGAGATGAGAAGAAGGGTAAAGGTCTCATCTCCCCGCATGGTTGCTATATAGAGGAATGGGTCAACTATACAGCTCCTAGAGTTGTGTAGTGTGACCCGGAGTGAACATCCAGGTGGCAGTGCCCAGTAAGCATGGGAAAGTTCTGGGCGAGTTGCTCGCCCAGAACTGTGGCTGTGACCTGTGGGAACATTCTGGGCAAGCTGCTCGCTCAGAAAGTTCCCACGCTATCCTGTGTGTGTGCGTGTACACAACACACAAAGGCAACAACGAGGCAACAGTCAAAGAATAAAAGGGGGTAAAGTAGGTGGGGAGTCTGGGGCACCCTAAGGCAGGGTGCTGAACCCTGACACTCGTCTCGAATCTGGTCTCTGACAGTGTCCTTCTTAGAGCCTCTTGTAACACCTTGCAGACCCAGGCTTCCTGGTGAAGCTTTGGTTCACTACTGGAGCTCTCAGAACCCCTCTAGCTGAGCCCCATCTGCATTAGGATCTCGTCTAGCAGGTTTTGACAGAAGCCCTCTGACATCGAGTCTTCCTTTTGTTTGGAATCTGTGTTTCTAACATCCTAGATGCAATTTTCCCTGACAATGTGTTGATAATAACAGATGTAAATAACCTAATTTTACAAAGCCCCACATAGAGAATTCCAGGGATTTTCTACAGAATGAGAAAATGAACAGCCATACTCATCATCTGGTAAGTCGCTCCCAACATGAGGATCAATGTCAACAGATTCCCATGTAAAAACTGGTTTTGCTTCATATCCATTTTTCAGTGCAGCTTCATATGCTGCTAGGATGTGGCTCGAAAAGGTGAAAGCAATGCCAGTGTGTTTAACATGGTCACACACAGTTGTCCCATGACGATGGGAAGGGGGAAATGCAAAGAGTGTGTCTGGGGCATGACGCAAGATGATCCCCAAATTCACATCAACAAAGTCTGCACCATGGTGGGTGCATCGAGGACTGACTGAGCATGATGTACATAATCCAAATACCCAATTAATGTGAGCAGTGTCACGATGGCAAGGACTATGAACAGCAGTTAGTGGGAAAAGCTACTGTACAAAAAGAAGGCAAAATAACATATGCTGTATAATTCTGTGCATAATAAATCTCAGGTGGGGGGTGGGGTTCATCATGAAACTGATAAAGCTTTCCATGAAAAGGGAAGTAATATCCTTTAGCTTTGTTGCACAAGTGAGCATAGAGACTACAGGATAAATGGAGGATACTCACAACCACTCTCAATAGATGGTGAGAAAAGAGCTGGAACTCCACTATCCTCCAGTCCATTAGCAAACTCCTTGATAATCTCCACAGGCAACCGTGACATGATTATAGCCCATGCAAGGGAAGCAAGGCCTAGTAGGTCATGGTCACTCTCACGCAATTCAGAGTCAGTGTACTTGGACTGCTTTGCAAATTTGGTATGCCCAAACTTGCGAGAGTGACGTGCCCCTGCACTGATACCAAAGGCATATAGAGAGCCAGGATGATTGGGCTGTTTTTCACTTCTGCAATGAGCTCTGGCTGTCCCTCTGGACATAGGGAATTAGGCAGTACACAGACAATAAATAATCATTACTTACTCTGATTGAGAACAATATGAGAGGTATCAGCTTCAAGGACCATCCACCCATCACCTCCCACTTCAATTTTTTTGCACTCTCGGTGAACCTGATGGGGCCTACCCTTCCCTGAGCTATCAACAAGCCATGTGCGCTGTGTACACATCCTGAAACGTGTGTCGCTATTGTCATCAAACTCAATTGTGTGTTTCCCCCATCAATAAGATCTTGCAGGTGGGAGCGCTGATCAAACTGGAGTACCTTTGCCTGTAATGGATAGGTTAGCACTCAAAAGACCTATGGGGGGAAACAGGCATACAAATTGATGCTTAGTATTATGTGAGGCCCGGTGTGACTTAAAGCTATCAATTTTTTTGAGAGCTTTGCAAAGGGTAGCATGAAGTGGGTGTGCACTGAGAGATTGTGCACGGGAGGCCTCAACAACGTGTTGAGCTGAGCCATTGGCCCTGCTGAGTAGGAGGCCTTCAACCTGGATCTGCAGAAATAGTGAGTGAGAATTGTAGAACTCAAACCACATTGCTACACAATTACCTTTTCTATGCATGCCTTTCGTGCCACAAGGGTAAGAAACTCATCCCATGCTGCATCAACATCAAGGAGTGTTGCTGCATTGATCACTCTCAGGATCTCAGGCTCGCATTCAGGAAGAATGGCAGAAACTATGGGCAAGACACATATCAGCACATATACATAGGGAAAATATATAGATTCTACCTTTTCCAGCTGTTCCCCTTGATTTCTTGACCTTACCCATTGTTGCTTGTGGTGATGTGCAGCAAATGTGTGTAGAGTGAAAAAAAAAAAAGATGTTGAAACTGTATAGTTACATCAGGTGACCTTTCCCACACCTTGCAAAACACAAGCAATGGCTAGCTGCCCATGTGCCGAGCTAAGGGACTAGATGTACTATCTCAGTCTCATGCCAGATAACTATAATAGCAGTACTAGCCACAGGGAAGTCAGGAAATTTTACTAAAGTTTATTTTATTCCAGTGTGTTGGATAATGATAGAAGTCAAATTGTGTGCATAGCTCACTTCACCCCACTCATTGTGATACTGGGTTTCCCAAAGCTCTAATCTTCAACAAGGGCAAGCAGCACTTTTGGTGTGAAACTTATGAATGACCAACATGTGCATAGACAGTGAATTTTGTTGAGGTACCTATAGGCAGGATCCCATGCAGGGGTAGCAGCACAGGCTCAATTATATACTAGTATAGCAGGTAGAACATGCCCCACGGTCCTTGGTGAGACAACAGCCGAACGACCACCTGAAAACAAGTATAAAAATGTTTCCCCTAGCTGGGTTTGAACTGACACCCCCCACAATGTATAGTCCAGTACAATACACATGCCATTGAGCCATAGCATCTAGCAGGCAATTGCACCAAAGTTACATCCTAGTAGGGTTACAGCTGCCTCAGTCAATCTCAAAATAATCAAAACATTGTTCTTTCACAATAACAATAGGATATTATTTGTTTATTATTCATCAATTCATAAATAGCTCATAATCTTTTTTTAAAGAGAGTAACTAGTAGTGGAAAGGGAACATGATGAGTATACAAGGTAGGGTATATAAAATGTGCTAAGTGTGTTAAGTGTGTTAAGTGTGCTAAGTGCACAATGTGCAAAGTGCAATGCAGGAAACTGCTGATGTATAGAAAGCTCATGTGATCCATGTCCAAATATGTTAAGTATGTTAAGTATGTTAAGTGCGAGAAGCGCTAAGTGGAAAGTGCCAATGTTTAAAGTGCACAGGACCTCATTTCATGGGTCAGGATTTTTCATCGGTGGATGATTCCATACATATGTATTGTTTGTTGTTATAGTAGGTTGTCCTTGAAGATATCATATTTTTATGTATTTTATTTAGGACTCTGGACCTCTTGAAGCTGTCTTCCCATGCGTTTTCAGGTTTCTAACTTCATGTCCTTGTATCTCATTCATTTGTGGATGTTTTCTCACGTTCTTGGTATCATAAATTTTTATTTATTCCCACCTTTCCAATGGTGCTAAGGTTGTGTCCTATTTCCTGGTATTCGTTGAGTTAGCAAAGGTTCGTGTGCACATTTGGTAATCACGTGCATCGTTCCCATAGTCGTTCGTATGCAGGTGCCGTTTTCGTTTAATTGTTCGGGAATTATGATATGTGTTGAAGGAGCGGAGCTGGATCACCTTATGTAACCAGTTTCCTACGTCCAATAACGATATTAGAGTTTGTGCTGATTTGCATACTGACCGTGTTTTGGTTGCCAAATATATGATTGTTCACTGTCTAAACAACAATAAACACCCCCAACGATCTCACCTGACGTATAGATCGTCTATGGATAAAATTCTATATTGACTTTACTATGATTTCTAGTCAATATTACACCTATATTTACCACTTTTCAGTAGGATGTGATTTTCCTGATAATTTACTGAAGGAAAACTGCTAATAAAATAATTCCGCAATAAATGTTACTCAATACAGGAGTGACCAAACTGCTCTTTCTATCGCTTAGAGTGCGTGCTAGTTATCTAGCAGGTTCAGGATCACTCACTTTTCTCCTGTGGTGTGATAACCAAAAATTGCTGAGAGATTATTCAATTAAGAAGTCCCTCCACCAAATTCTCACTAATTCTCACTATGACACTTTTGTTCAGCTGTGTCTAACTGACCCTAACTCACGCTTAGAGTGACGTGTTAGTTTTATATTAGCTAACAACTAATATTTGCTTTTATCTTTTGGAGCAAACGAACCAACCACTGGTGAGGAGAATTAAACTTTTATTTCTACCTGAGGTTTGAGAGGGGGCAGAAGCGGCGGCCTTTTATGCTTTTCAGAGGCCTCTCTACTCCCACGCCTCGCACTAGTTACATGTGCTACATTTGTATTATAGATAGTTCTAGAATGATATAGGGGCTTGGGCTGTGTAAGCTTAATAATGGACTTAGGTCATGACTCAGCAATAAGTAATTCATTTCTTTGTCTTTTGGGCCGATCTTAGCGGGATCTTGTAGCGCTGAAGCTATGCTCTACACTGCCTTAATTACGAATGGTTATCTTTAGAAATGACTCGGCTATAAAGGAACTTTCTAGACTGTTCTCTAATTGACCCCTTTTTGTGAAGCCACATCATTACTAATGTTCTAGAGCCTTCCCAATTAATTAACTGATCTGCGGACTTCTGAATTACTTCATGCTTATGATCCGAGATCCAGATCATCAATCATTCCTTTCTTCCGATTTATTTGAGCTTAAAATCAAAAAGTTTTGATGAATCATGGGAAAATATACAAGATCCGATTTTTTAGCATTTTCTCCTCTTCTGATGCGATCAAAAACTGTCCGCCCGCGCCGGGGAATACTCTATCATATGGTATTCGGTCCGCCAGACTTCCGGGTGCCATTATATTTCCCTTGAGTCACATTACTTTTTGTAAGAATTAGCAAATAAATATATATGAATTATAAGGTGTTTCGCCGTTTGAGCGATATCTCCGTCAGTTTTGAAGCTTTTAGAATGAAACAAAACCGTGGATAAAGTTAAGAAACAGTCCTTTCAGATGGTAAAAAGGTTACAGTCAAAAGTTTACTGGTTCCCGAGATATTCACATTTCTTTCCCAATGTTCCTTCTTATTCTGCCGTCTATGTGCTATTTTCTTGTTGTAGGGTTATATTCTTTGAATATTACACCTATGCCAAGTTCTAGGCATGATTGTAGTAGATTAAATCTCATACTACATGGGTGTAGATAATTTATAATGATCTAATGTCTGTCCAGTCTCATAAAGATCATGAGATCTGTTAAACGTCTGAACTTGTCACCTGTTCGTTGACTATTCTGATAGATCATTGTTTTATTCTTTGAATATTATTTCTCCTACAGCGTGGGTGTTTATTTCTTTCATATGGGCTTCTGTGATTTATTTCAGATTTTTCCCTCATGATCTAAGGTTGTTTTGCACTTTCCGTGCTTTGTTTTGACCGGGCTTTTCCTTATTTGGACGGAAATTGGTCTTCGTGATCTGCCGAAGTGTGGATCTCGGTTCCGACGGCCAGTTCCCTGCACATTGCCACCCTCATGTGTCATTATACATGATGCGGATTTCTATATTCCCATCATGGGTATAACTTCACAACGGCTGGACCGTTTGGGCTGAAAATTTGCATAACTATAGTTCCCCATTTTTCATAATTTCCGTGTAAATTTCGTTGTATGTTTTAATTATGGATCCTATGCAAACATCGTCTTTTCCCTGGCTCAGACTTTTGATGTCACTATTCCCGTTATTGGATATCTCATTAGTGCATGATCCTTTTATTATGAAAATTTGGGAGGATTGAGATTAGATCTCTTCCTTTCTAATGGGCTATCAATCTTGTCTCGGTCGTTACTGGTTAATCTTTGCGCTTGCCTTTTAGACATTGTCCTCATTTTGCAGGAGTTTTAGTCATATCTCCGTCGTTTATGGCTAGTTTCCCCTGTAATTACTCTCATTGGGTCCGTTTGGGGGACATCTACATTTCCTATTATAAACACGACTTTGACTTTTGCATTAGTTCCTGAGGAATCCTTGTTCCATGGTACTTCCATCCTTGGCTCCGTGTGCAGACGTTGTAATGGGTCTATCAATCTAGACTCGTGGCTCAGGTCTGGGGGGGGTAGGTCTCTCTCTGGTGTCAGACAGATGTAGTGGGGTCCTTGGGTACGGTGCTGATAACCCTCTCTAACTACTATACAGCGGGTCCCGGAAGAGTCTGATACAAATAGAAAAGGAAAGTCACATGTGTGAATGAATGAAAATAGTAAAGATAATAAAGAAAATGTCATATCTCCTCAACAACCCAACCAAATCCAACGATTTTAGACTCGTCAGAACCACCTCTACAACCTCTACAACTCCTACTATTACCCCAACTCACCAATCCTAATCCCTGATGCAGTAAAGGGTGAAGTGTGCAATGAGGCTTGTTTTAACCTGCACGGACTTGTCCCCACAACAACGTGGGAAAGTAGTTTCCGTGGAGGTTCTCTGATTGTTTTTATAGTCAAATCTTGGTCGATTGTCATAATTCTTGGTTTAATATTTGCTATAAATTCCCCCGAGAATTCTGTCTCGTTGATGGTAAGCTTGAAGTATTTTTGCTATTTTTCTTTCTTTCGATTTATCGCATATAGTCATAATAATTCGTAAAAATTCGTTAAAATTCGTTAAAATTTGTGTCCTTCTGTTTTCTCATATCTACTTGTCATATGAGGTTTTGTGATTTATCTGGCATATTTCCATAATGGGTTTCCATAGTGTGACCATTATTTCTCCTACACCACTTGATAGGCAGGAGTGTGTGTGGTGTGTGCAGTGATCAGGGGAACGGGGTTAGGTATGTAGTGGTACATGGAGAAAAGGGAAATCGACCATGGAATAGAAATAGAGAGAAAGGGAAAAAGTGAGGAAGGAGGGACGGGGGGTGATAGTGGGGGAAGCGGAGTAGGGCAGTGCAGCGCGGGGTGTGGGGTCAGGTGGGTGTGCCCTGACACCGACTGAATATTACCAACGAGTCGGGTTATGGGGTTAACGGAAAGGCAGGCGATAACCCAGAAATGGAAAGGAGGGATAGGCCCTAAGGTGGACTCTGCAGGGCAGGTGAGTGTATTGCCTAGCGAAAGGAGGGGGTGGTGACCATCGAGGGGTACCGAGGGGATTGTGGAATACGGGAGCTCCAAGGTTAGTGAAGAAGGAGCAGAGGTAGACTGGAGGGATCAGAGGTACCAGAAGTTGTTGGCTGGGGATGGATATGACAATCCTCACCATTGTGCCACCACTGTAAACTCAACCTGTAACCCTGGAACCATGTCCACCTCCCTATTCATCCTCTCCATGACAAAACCGCAACGAGGAGGGCATTCCCACACCCAACCTCCTGCTGCCCACTCCCATCCAACCAGAAGTTCCCTATCAGGAACTGTAACCTATCCCACCTCCTTAGGAGAGGGATATGGTCCAGGCAGCTCCAGAATGCCTGGCCACACACCTGCAGGTCCCACTTCCCACAGTCACCCACTACCATGCACTGGTCCACCTGCCTGCTTTCCCCAACAACTCCTGCTACCGGTATGCTCCTGTGAGTGCCAAGTCACCGATAGCCACCAACTGGGTGACTCCCTTTGGGAATCCCAGTATCCCGCACTACCGGTACGCTCCATTGAGTGCCAAGTCACTGCTAGCTGACCACTCCCAGCACACCTGCTACTGGCACGCTCCCAGGAGTGCCAAGTCCCCATTAGCAGACAGCCAGGTGGCTCCCTCAAGGAGCCCACATCATACTCGCTACTGGTACGCTGTAACGGGTCTATCCAACTAGACTCGAGACAGGAAGGAGGGGGGATAGAAATCTCACTGAGGGTCAGGTCAATGGTGGGGTATATTGGTCCAGTCGAGTCTGGTGCTGATAACTCTCTACCAAACTATACAGCGGGTCACGGAAGAGTCCGATAGACAAAATAGGAAAGAATATCACATGGCAATAAGAAAATGGAAACATCTGGCTCTAGACACCGGAAATGAAATCAGAAAAATTAGGAAAAATAGGAAATATGTGTAAGGAGTGTGAGTGGACATGGGTTACATGTGATGGATGTGAGGTGCTTGCTGAGGGTAGTAGAATCGCGGGATTTGGCTCGTTTAGGGTGCACCGGCAAATCCCCGTTACATACAGGCCTAGCTCTCAATCGTGGTCCCTCACGATATCCCAAATGAAACCAGCGGCATCATCCCCAATCCACAACTCCTGAGGGTTTGGGAAGAATAGATCATGAATGTTGCATAAATAAATAACTCGATGTGATGCGTGATTGGGAAGGCTGCCAAATTTGCGTCAACCCGGCAACATCAGGGAGGCTTCTTCCTCCGCACTCTAGCCTCGTATTCGCTAATGCAAGGCATGTATCCATCCTCAAGGCAATGCTCAGCCTCGTCTCCATTTCGCAACACAACGCAAATTGTCCTCGGAAGTGATGTCTTTGACTTCTTAACGGATTCCTGATAGCCATACACCTGAGCGGTCTGACTATGGTGCTGACTAGCAGAACCTTCTGGACACTTGGCTCGCACAAAATCGACTGAGGAACATGTCGCACGTTCAGTAAACCAACCCCATGAGACTGCGCTGGGGTAAGGGTCGCGGGATTTCGACTCAATGAGCGCATTCTTCTGGCATCTCCGGCTGTCTAGACTATCATCCTGTGCACACGGAGCTCTTCTCTGACATCTGGGATTACTCTCTCTGCCGAGAACATCTGACTGAGCAATGCGTTCTCGAACATCAAACTTGTTACAAGTCTTCGACCCTGAACATGGCTTTGACATCGCACAGCTCACATGCGGACTTTGGCATTGGACAGGAGGCCTAAGCTCTTTATGCGTGGCCTCTCGGCTCGATGATGATGTCTCCAGGTGACTGGGTACTCGGCTTCCACACTCACTCATGGTGCCGGCAGTTGGCTCCATTTCGCCTTTGAATCCCGACATGAGACTCGGATCAGGGACACCTCGGCACTCTAGACTCTCTATGATCCCTTCTGTCGTCGTTGCGGCCTCGAGCCAGCAATCGGCATCAATCTTTATCATTCTGCCATGAACTTGCGCGCATCTCTGTACCGTTGTGGCCATTACATCTGGGAGAACTACAGGTCGAACGAGAGGTTTAGGCACAATGGTAAGCCTCATTTTCACTCCCATCGCCGACTTGTATGGGCCATTGCTGATTTCGCTTGCTTCGGCCCAAGACTCCGTATTCGACATGCAATTGACCCCGCGCTTGGGCCCAGACTCGCAGTCCAAGACCAGTACTCGCCTGGCCCCATCAGCTCCCTCAAGCACAAAGGTGTCACCATGGGACTCAACACCTCGCGAACGTTCGGCCTCTGGAGTCTCCTCAGACTCTTGTTCTCGGGCTAGGCCATCGCCCGGACACTCATTCACATTTGATACCTTGTTGGGGTCTTTCTCGGGTCGGCATTCATAGCCATCGCCAGGGAAATATGGGGCTTTCGCGTGCTTGGGTGCTCCGATACCAGGACTAACATTAACGGCAATCTCGAAGGTAGGCCTTTTCACTGCATCGATTCCGCCATGTATGATAGCGTGTTTGCCAATCAAATCACAATCCCGTTCTTCATGATTCGACTCGCGCATAAGAATGACTTCAGGGGGATCAATCAACCCAATGCCCTTGGGTACTGCATCAAAGCCGATGTCGGATTCGCATCCAGAATCCCGTGTGTAGTCATCCACTGAGTCGGAATTTCCGAACACACCGCTGAAGCTGAGAGGCCGTAGCTCTTTATCCTTGAGCTCAGCCCCATCTTGTGCTAGGCTAGGCTCGCCTCTGAACTGGACCTCACACTCTGCGTCTTGCGCAGCTTCAAAGAGAACCACAAGGTCACCCTGGACGACGTAGAAGCCCTCTACCGTCTTGAGCATGGAAACCTCGCGGCGGAACTCGGTACACGACGTAGAACAACAACGATTGAGCTCGTCATTGAGGCCGGGAGGCCTTAGCTCTTTATGTTTATGCTCACTGTGCTCTTGCGCTGAGTCCAGGGCCCGTGCTATTTCCGACTTCCTGCTGCATTCAGACTCGCGTTTGGCTTCGAACAGGGCGATCTCATCACCGCAAATGATGTAGGTGCCTTCCGGCATTTCAAGCGTGAGGATGCCACTGTGAAGCTCGACATCTCGTATACTTTCGGCCTCTGGAGTCACCTTAGACTCATATCCGCGGGCTAGGCCATCGCCCGAATACTTGATCACGTTGATACCCTTATCAGGGTCTTTTGTGGGCGGTTCTCCATAACCGTCTTCGAACTCGGGGGTGATAGGAAGCGGCTTCACGTACTCAGGCGCTTCACCACGATTGGGATTGGATTCGTGTCCTACAACCTTATCTGGATCCTTCTTGGGCAGATCCTCGTACCCTTCACCGGACTCATGCATCGAAAACTTAACTCGCTTAGCCACTTTGCTGTTGTCGAACTCATACTTGGGGAACCAACAGGGAATGCCACTTGATTTCTGAATTCTCGCCTGAGTCGCCTCCGGACTAGTGTCTTCACATCTGCCTTCGCTGGGCTCAACAGGGGACTTGGCGCTGCTGCTGCGCTCTTCAGTCTCGGTCACACCATCTAATTTGGAGATTTGTACAGGCTGTGAGTCGATCAGGTCAAACTTGCAGTAGTATCCGATTGCCTCCGTTGACTGAGGCGCCTCGACTTCATCTCGGCAAACAAGGTCGATTGCTGCATGTTCTGAGGTCTGGTATACTGCGAAAATGTCGGATTTCGAGACACGTTCAAGGTCGCCAGGCCTTAGCTCTCGATCATTGTGCTCTGGCGCGGTGTGTAAGAAATCCAGCGGTCGAGGTGCCTTGGGTGTCGTTGGATCGCCTGTCTGGGGTGGGTCCATGGTCTCAATATCGTCGAAGCTCGAGTCCACATCTGAAGTGTCAGGGGAAGTTTCACGGGAGATCTCTTCGTCGAACCATGCGAATGAGTCGAAGACATTGAAAGCCGTTTTGCAAGGGGCCTCATCGTCAAGATACGACTTCAGGCTGAAGACGTCGTAAATCGATCCACACGGGTCTTCATCCTGGATACTCAAGTCCGAGTCCGCGACATTGGCAAACATCATCTTGTGAGCCTTCCCATCGTTGCCTGCTGGCATTAGACTGTCTACTCTGATCTTGATATTCTGTGGCAGATCCGTGCCTTTAGACTTCGCAATGTATGACTCCCAGTCTGAATCGTAGTCACAATCCGGTCCGCAAGGAGTATCATCGCCGAAATATGAGTCCAGATCGAAGGTCTCATAGACTGTCTCATGGGAATTCTCGTCGTTGCAGTGTGAATCCAAATCGGGGCTGGGGGCATCATGGATTATTTCATGGACAGCCAGATTGGGTTTGTAGTACACAATTGCCTCGACTGACTGAGTCTTTCCGGCTTCGTCTGAACACACTGAGTAGATCACAGCCAGTTCTGAGGTCTGGCAGACTTGGTCTTCAAGCACGTCGGGTTCTGAGACAGGTTCGAGTCTCCTGGGCCTTAGCTCTAGGCTTGCGTCATCAAACTCCGGCTCGAGCACGTAATCTTCGGACACAGCAATTGACTTGGTTTCGTAGGCGCTCCGCGCTTCGCAGGCTTCAGACTCATGCTGGTCCATCTGATCTAGCGTCGAGCTGGCGGCACTTGTTTCTGCATCAAACTCGGGCACAAAATCGCTCTGAACCGTGGGCTGCATTGAAAGCACTGGTGAATCAACATTTGCACTGGTCTGCGCATCGGACATTGATGAATAGGAACTGGCTCTTTCGCGATCATGGGCATCTTGTAGCAGGGCCCTTGCCGCTGCGACAACCTCGTGCATATTGAGCTTGTGCCTAAACTTCGACGGAAATCCACGGAAAAACAAATCATCGCGCTCAACAACGGCAAGGGTACCCTGTCCATCTAGGGACTTGGAAATAGCTTCAAACTTGCACAAATATCGGTCAAGGTGATCAAAGGTCTTCATCTTGCGACCTTTTTCTACGAACTTGCGGAGATCCTTGAAGCAAAATAAGGGTTCTTCGTCAACGCCATAAAAGTCCAGCAGGTCTTTCTTGAGCGACACCCAATCTGGGTTCTCGAATCCGTCCAGCGTGGAAATGAACCTCGCTTCCTTGTCAGTGCAGTAAGCGGTCAGAAATTCGCATTTCTGAGCTTCCGTGAAAAGTGCCGCATCAGCCAGTGACTCATATTTGCTAAGGAACTCGACGATCCGCCTGCCTCTGAATCGGGGCGCATCTGGGCTACGGGGCATCGGCATGGATGTGTAAAATATCGGCACTGCAACAGCGGAACTTGCAGCCATCTTGAAAGGTTAAAAGAAAGGTAAAACTTGAAAATGATCGTGTGGGTCGCTCGGGACCTGTTCTGGTGATACTTGGATGATTCTCTATGCCGCTTGTCGTCCAGCAAGGAGAGGAATCGTAAAATGAGGGTCAAATGGAGGTAAACGGGGTAACACGTTGCCAAAACACGTTGCAAAACTTGGTAATCAGAGGAACTAATGCCGGCTCCTGTGCCCTCTTCGTGAGATCCACCAGGAGTTAACCACTTGAGCAATAAACCCGACCCCCTGTGCCTCGTCGTGAGATCCGCCAGGAGGGACAATCGCGATAAACTTGCTTAAGGGCAGCACGTCGCTAAAACTTGATAACAAACACGGACTCCTGTGTCTCTTCGTGAGATCCGCCAGGAGTGAACAACTTTAACAATAACACGATCCCCTGTGCCTCGTCTTGAGGTCCGCCAGGAGAAACAAATGTGAAACTTGCAAAGTCTTGCAGGTGTGGGTGGAATGTGTGGATCCGTAGACTTGTAGATCCTTTCTTGTACTTCTTCCTCTTCTTAGGGTAACAAACGGTGTAGATAGTCGATATCCAAATAAAACGAGGGTGTTTCCAAACAAATGAAGGACGTGAACTTGCGTGATTGAAAACCTGACAAAGTGGATTATCCCCCCTGTAAGGACCACCAGATTTGTAACGGGTCTATCCAACTAGACTTGAGACAGGAAGGAGGGGGGATAGAAATCTCACTGAGGGTCAGGTCAATGGTGGGGTATATTGGTCCAGTCGAGTCTGGTGCTGATAACTCTCTACCAAACTATACAGCGGGTCACGGAAGAGTCCGATAGACAAAATAGGAAAGAATATCACATGGCAATAAGAAAACGGAAACATCTGGCTCTAGACACCGGAAATGAAATCAGAAAAATTAGGAAAAATAGGAAATATGTGTAAGGAGTGTGAGTGGACATGGGTTACATGTGATGGATGTGAGGTGCTTGCTGAGGGTAGTAGAATCGCGGGATTTGGCTCGTTTAGGGTGCACCGGCAAATCCCCGTTACAACGCTCCCAGGAGTGCCAAGTTACCATTGGCCAACCCACAGGTTGTACTTCCAGACACTCATCCCATTCTGCTCTCCCTCCGATGGCTACGCAGCCACCTCCATTAGTGAGCCAAACAGTTCAGGTTGGGTTCCCCAGAACCCATTCCTGTAACAGGAATAGGCCTGAAGGTAGACTTGCAGGGCAAGCAAGTGTATTGCCCAGCGGGGGTGGGAGTGTGCTAGCAGACATTGGAGCTGTCCGGAGGCCTTCAGGGTTTTGTACTTAGGGAGGCGTAGGTTAGTGAAGAAGGAGCGGAGGTAGTCCAGAAGGATCGGAGGTAGTGGAGGGCAATGGCCATAGATGGATATGACAGATAGGTGTCATATCCATACAATCCTGACCTCCACTCTGGGCTCCTGGAACTCTGAAACTGACTCCAGAGCCCTACTTCCCTTCCATCACCTTCTCCTTGCCGACTCCCAAGAGGTTATCCCACCTCCGGCTCCAACACCACCTTCAGTCTGACTCCAGAACATTCCAGGTCTGGCCCCAACCTCAACACCTTCCAGATGAGCACACAACATCTCAGACTCCTTCCCAGTCGCTCACATGATTTCTCCAAGGTTTAGCCGCAACTTACGTTGCCTCCAAAATCTGTCGAGCGACTGGTACAACTTGCAACACATGATGTTCCCATGCTAAGTTGTAATGAGTTGTACATAGGTTATGGGATATAATTTTTAGTATTTACGCATGCGGTCATTGTACCCAACCCAACCCATGGAGACTAAGGGAGCACATCCAAGGTTGTGAAGTTAATATCCGGGTGTGCGTGAAGTTTAAGAGTTTATATATTACTTAGTTGCCAGTCACTTGTTTGTGCCTGGTGGCATAAGTGGTATACCGCTAGTTGAGGCTATGCAGTTTTTTTAAGTGGCACATGTTCGATTCTCACTTAGGAAAACTTTTTTCAGGCCCTCCCATGGAATAATTGTGTGAAATGGTTGTTTTCTGTGCACTAAGGAGTGGAGGGTATGAAAAAAAAAAGTTTCCTAAGTAAGAATCAAACATGTGCCACTTAAAAAAACTGCATAGCCTCAACTAGCGGTATACCACTTATGCCACCGGGCACAAACAAGTGACTGGCAACTAAGTAATATATAAACTCTTAAACTTCACGCACACCTGGATATTAACTTCACAACCTTGGATGTGCTCCCTTAGTCTCCACAGGTTGGGTTGGGTACAATGACCACATGCGTAAATACTAAAAATTATATCCCGTAACCTATGTACAACTCATTACAACTTAGCATGGGAACATCATGTGTTGCAAGTTGTACCAGTCGCTCGACAGATTTTGGAGGCAACATAAGTTGTGGCTAAACCTCGGAGAAATCATGTGAGCAACTGGGAAGGAGTCTGACAACATCTATGCTCCCAACTCCAGACCTCCACTCTGGAATCCTGTTTGCATCTCTGCCTCTGGAACCTCCGGTCTTAGCTCTGACCTTGGACTTTGACCCCACCTCCACTTATACCCATTGTATTGGCTAGCTTATTCCATTTATTTACCTTTGCCAATATTCCGGAGTTTAACTTCCAAGTTCAGACTTTCTGGACTTGCTTCGGACCTTGCAACTATTGCATTGTCCCATTCAATTCCACTATTCTCCCTCATTCCTATTTGGGCTGCTGCTTCCTTTCTATTCAGTCAGCTAGCCATTCCTGCTCCTTCCTTCCTCCTTGGGCCTTGGCCCTTCACTCCTCCATTGGGAAACACCATTGAGTCAAACCCTTGACCCTCGGTGTTGTTCCTCCTTCCCTCCTTTTGTCTCCTTTCATCCTACCCTTGTTCCTTTTGATTCCAGACCCTCCTTATATACAATGTACCTAGTAACTTGTAACCTCAGTCCAAAATCGACTTGATTCCCCCCTAAGAGACTTCCCCCTTGCTAGATCCAAAATTAGGGACCCCCAGGACAACCAGCAATGGCACAGTGCTCTGCATGAGTTGCTGAGGCTGAGGTCCTTCCACGCTAAGTCTCCAATTCCACTCCAGAGTCATCCAAATCCACCATATCTAACAATAGGCTACACCCTAGTGATAAAATCAACTAGAGTTTCCCTCTTCTAAGTTCTCATTGCCAGTTAGTAAATTAGGGCACGGACATGTAACTAGGCACAGTGCTCCTGGTCTAAGTTGCTGAGGCCAAAGCCCTCCACCACGGGGACGTTTCTGTCAGGGCACACCTGGGCCCACCTCACCCGCTCCCCGCTACCCATCCTCCCTCCATCCTCCATCCTCCCTCTTCCCCTTCTTCCCTTTCCTCCGTTTTCCCTCTTTCCTCTTCCTCCTTTATTTCATTCTCCCTTTCTGTTTATTCTTTCTATTTACACGGACCACCTTTCCTTGTATCATTGTACTATTGACCCATCCGGCTCGGACACCCTGGACAACTTCCTGCTACGCATAGCACATGTGCCTGCAGCGGATGCCCTTGGGATCCCCCGTGGGGATGCCCGGATGGCTACAGCTCTCCCCGCAGATGACGTGGCACTCATCATGTGACCCAAGCCGCATGTACATAAATGTACCTGAAGTGGGAACTGAAGAAGTAACCTTCTTCTCACGTTTTCCACTTCAGGTAAGTAGTGTAGTTCTTCCTTTTAATGACAATTCATGTTTTCCACTTCAGTCTAAGTGGCCAGGGGCCACAGTCCCAGATCGGGCCCATCAGTACACACGCCCACTTTGCCCCCTGAGAGGGTCCCTCTGCCGGGCGCTACATCTGGGCCCCCTCCACCCCGGACGTGTCCCTGGCAGTTTCCTTCATCCCACATCCAGTCTCTGACAGCACCCAGGAAGCTTTTCAGGCTAGGGATCTTACTGTTGTCATCTAATTGTTTAGTTTCCTTATGTCCACCACTTATGTGTTTTTGCATTGTTCCTCCTTCCTCTCATTGAGATCCAAAAATTGTATATACCTTGCACCCCACATACCATGATCTGATTGAGATGTAATTACAGTGGTGGAACCAGGAATGAGATACAGAAAATCATGCAAACATGTAATAACAGCAAGCCTGGCTTCATTGTCATTGTGGATGCACATATCCTCATGAAGAACTTCATCATGTTGTGTCAAGGCTTTCAACCAGGCAAATGATGGTTCAATTGGGCTAAAATCAGGGCTATAGGGTGAGAGAGCCACTGGGCATCCATTAGACATCAGAGTTAGTTGCTGAAACAATAGCAGCACAATACCTTGCCTTGATTTTCAACCTGATATGATCACCTTTGTGGATACAGCAATTGTCCATCACAATAACTGAGTTGCATTCCAGGAAACTATTCATTTACATGAGAAGTCCCTTGATGAAGTCAGTAAACAGTTCAGCAGTGAATGAATTTTTGACAATCTTGAGCCAAATGACACCATGTTTAAAAATGGGGCCTAATTGGTCATTTCTATAGCGTTTGGGTTCAGGGAGGGGCCATGACATTGAAATAGTGTTACAGTTAATATGGCAGAGATTATATCAATGAGGTTTACAGGGACATCAACATTGGGTGTTTTTGGTGGTTGTAGATGGTGTCATGACCATGCATCCTGACATGGATGCTGGCCCTTGCCCTGTTCTCTTATCACTTGACCCATTCAGTTTCCCTTACTATATATACATGTATAATACATTATCATATCTTTAGTCTGAATATCGACATGGTTTTGTCCCCCTAACAAGGCAGCCCCAAGCCACTTCAAAATGTGGGCACTGAGACAGTAGGTGGGCACAGTGCTCTCTTGGAATCACTGAGGCCGAAGCCCAACCCTGGAGCTGTCAGGGTTCAGCACCCTGCCCCAGAGCGCCCCAGACTCCCTGTTACAGTTAGCATAACACTGATGGACTTAACAGACTCACATGTCAGACTTGTTCAAAGCCGATACACTTTGCATTTGGCCTAGTCCAAAC